TCTCTGTACTGCTATTGATTGGACTGGACAAAACCCAAGAAGGTAACCCCTTTTATCATCCCTGAGAATTATTGAAGAAGCCATTGAAAATCGAAATTGCAAATAAGACAGCTAATTTTCTTAGTGCTCAATTTGCTATGTTGTCTGGGGAAGCATTGTCCTAGTCAATAATTCCAGTAGGCACACACCAACATGCAAAAGAGCTTTCTGTTCTTGGTTTTTTTAACTTCTACTGGTCTATTTGGATTTACATTGGGCAAAAAGTCATGCTTATCAATCAGACCGCAGAATGGCATTGCTTTTAAACTGAACTTTTGGTGTAGGCTTTTTAGCTATGGCCAGTAAATGACAGAAGCTATATATATATGCTGTCAAGTTCTGGAAATGAGGAAAGGGGAAAAAAACTTCCATTGTTTTGTGGGTTGGCCTGCATTTTGACAATCGACATAACCGAGGCACATAGGAGTAGGACATGCATAGCCTTAGTGGCTGTAAAGTCCATGGGCCTCAGTCTCTTTTCTTTTCCAACAGTGCATGGCTGCAAGATATGAATGGTACGTGAAATTCTTACCCTTCCTTAATTCCATGAAATATCAACTTTATCGTCTACTAATTAATATCATAACACGTGATTTAACTATATGTGATAGCACGATAGTTACACATTTTATACATTTGATCAAATAATTCAAGATTAGCCAGGGATTTAAGTGTATAGTTAGGAATGCTGATATTTATCTTCCAACTCTAATATCCCACCGCCCATTGAATTTTTTTTCTGAAAAAACAATCCTCTTTTGCCACCCCACTTATACCTAAAGTACCTTTTATTTATGTCAGCAGTCTTAGATGCCATTTAACCATAGTATATTTGTCATTTATATTCTCATTAAATGGTGAATGAAAAATGGAATATAGGCGGGTGAAATAACAACAATCATAATAGACGCAAGTTAGAGCAGTGAATGAGAGCCCACCTTCTTACACTTAGACCTGTAAACATATTAGATTATCATATTCGAATTGTTCCAACATGGATCAAGTTAATCTATCAAGTACTAGAGTTATTTATTCCTAATTATATTTGAATTAAACAATAAAAGGATTGTGATGACAAAAATATAATTAAGTAAGTAAATTAAGAGTAAGTAAACAATGTAACAAGATGATAAAGCAGTAGGACATTGATTTCACCTAGCTAATCCCACCAAAATCATTCTAACTTGTTAATCCTAATTTACCTAACATATTGATAGTCGTTTTCCCTACCTCACCAACACTCTTTTCCAAGTTATATTAGTCGTATTCCTTACCGTCAACCCACTCTATTCCTAGTTATGGATTTAGATGGCTAAGAACTCATTAAAATTTATGAAAAATATTAAAGACTACACAAACCACAACCTAATATTCCGAGTTGATAAATAGAATTAACAATATTAAAGAATTTGAATATTCGTATCTAGGCTACATTGTAGTCCTAGTAAAAAGAGATTAGTTCATTAAGGACTTATTAGGAAACATGATGATTGATAAAAACATGAGAGGCATTGAATTCTTGAAGTAGAATGTTGTTGAGGCCCAAATGTATTTCTAGCCCAACACGACACCTAACTTGGGAAGAAACCCAACTTGGGTATGCAAAAGTTCGTCATATGCGTTTGCAGATGTGCCACACTAAACAAATAAGCAACACGTCATGCTACAAGCTTAAGTGGGCCTAAGCCATGCGAATGCCTGGGGCTTACTGAGCAGGTTGTGGTATGGATGGTTACAAGTTCTCATGAGGCTCATTGATGAGCCGAGAAATAGAAGTTTTGGGTTGCTTGGGTGCCCCGAAACTCAAGCACATTTCTTGAGCCCAAATATGTGGGTAAGCATAAATGAGAGAAAATAGCCCATTATCTTAGAAAAATAGCTCATCACTTTGGGAAGTTGGCTCATCCCTTTAGTGAACTAGCTAATTTCCTTAAAGAATTGCCCAAGTGACCAACAAAATATTTGAAAGTCTCCAGCACATGGCTGGAGACAAAACCATGACAAAAACCAAAAGCCACTCACATATGCAGACTACTGAGAATCTCCAGTACATGGCCAAAGACAAACCCAACGCAAGCCATAAGAAAAACCAAGGGATACTTGAGCAAAACATCATTTAAACCAGTGTATATTCCAATTCCTTTCCCCCAATCAGATTTAGCCATAGAATATGGGAGAAAAGAAGGAAGAAAGATGGCTGAAAATGGGAGTCCCCTACTGGAACAGCTGCGGGAAAAGCCTAGAGCTCCCCAAACCCTGTTTTTGTGCGATTGGGCAGAGAAAATTTCACCAAATAGGATAAGTCAAAGGAAGAGAAGAGAAATGAGAGGAAAGACTTGGTCAAATTAAATAGAAACCATTAGGGTTTTTAGGGAAGAAGGAGCTTCCAACGCCTATAAAAAGAAGTATTTCCTACCTATCATCTCAACCCACATCTAGAGAGCAAGCTTCATCTCTCATCCCTGAAACTCTGCAATTTCGAGCACCATTCCTTTATTTTCTCCTATCTTCTTTTCTGGTAAGTCATTACAGAGCTTGATAAAGCCTTTGCCAAGCTGCTAGAAAATTACCCAAAACACCCATTACTTCACCACTAGCCACAACCACATCCAGAGAGCAAGTTTCCTCTCTCCCTTCCAAAATCCAGCAAATTTGTGCTATATTCATCCTTTCGAAGGTAACCAAGGTTCTTCTCTTCAGTGCTAAACTCATGACAATTTTGTTTCCATGCCACAAGCCTCTCATGTCAAGCTAAAAACTCTATATGTAAACTGTTGTTATTTTTGTTGGTGAAGGTAACCAATGTGTTTCTTAAGGTTTTACTATCCTTTCGAAGTATTTTTGGGGCTTGATCTTTGAACTTAGACACAGGGGATAATTTCATCAATATGCTTTTTACGGCAGCTCAGCCCATTTATAGCTGTCGGAAGAAAAAAGCCCCTACAAATGTCAAGGTTGCACCAGCTTTGTTCTTGTTCTCCTTAGGGTGTTTCCGCTATGACTATGAGTATGAATATGAAGGAATTTGATAGTGTTGGATTATATTTTTACAATGGTGTCCGAATCCCCCTATATATAGTAGTCCTAGAAATCCTACCTATCTAAGATATAATTACAATTATTACAAGAATAGGATTCCTGCTATAATCTAGGGTTTTTTATTTATTTATATTATTATTTATAATTATAAAATTTCTCCTTGTTTGACTTGATGAGAATTTGAACCATCT